GGGGGGGGGGGGGGGGGGGGGGGGGGGGGGGGGGGGGGGAGGTGTTGTACGATAAGTATGATGGCTTCAAATAGTTAGAAAGGTTCACTCTGCCACCTTCCTCAGCATAGTTGAACAATTGAAAGGAACTAAGAATCTATAGGAAGGGCACAGTGGAACAGCACCAGGGGAGGGCCAGAAATGAACCTTCTAACTCTGAGTTGCGGATTAAATATTCCTGCAACAAGTGTTGTTTTATATGTCTCAGATCGGAAGTCAATCTTCCCTAGTCTTCATGTGGTTGGCATCGGACACGATGGGCAAGTGTGAGAGGTTCTACGAGAAAGAAGAACTAGAACAACTTTTCGCCCAGGGACAAACTTCTTTTAACTCCTTTTCAGCTATTTTTAATAAAAAGAAAGTGCATGGCGTATTCGGCTATTGACCGATGTGAGAAGTTTTGAACAGAACCCCTTGACTGCTTCATTCATTGCTTGTTTAACAACCCGCTGCACCACGGTTTCACTAAGCGATTCCTCGGTGGAATCCCTCCTAGGAGGTCATGGTGTGACCAAGAATCATTTTGCCTAATCCAAGGATGCTTTCAGGGGAAGCTGGCCCAATTATGTCAGAATCCAATTAGATCTTTGTAGGTGATGAGTCTTATGACGTGTCGTTACGTCCGAATATGCCGCTATTCCCTAATCCCACTGAAATTAACACGGAGCTCATTTGTAATTGACGGATTTATTTGGTAATTTAAAGCCAAATTGGTCCAAGGGAAACGTGTGGTCTTTGAGTCGAGATTCTGGCTAAAGTTGGTGAAACATTGATCAATCATGAGTTGTGTCGACTCAGTTATCCTACGCACATTGGGTAAAGGTTCTACGTTCTTCAGCGAAGTAGAAAGATTTCAAAAAAATGGCCTATAGCAACTTGAAGACAAAATTTTCAATGACCTGGATAAGACTAGAGCAGTTCAGAATCAGTGATGCTGCTTTATGGATCTGAGGATATGAGTTTGAGCCCGAGAGTCCCAAGATCCCGCTCTTCCGTCGCTGCAAATGTGCAGGTTTTCCTTTATTAGGAAAAATAAACAAAAAATCATCGTTGTCATCTGAACCGAGATGTGGATCGTCGAGGGGCGGCAAACTTAATCCTTCATGATCCCCCGGCCTTGGCATTGTAACTGCCTTACACGCAAGTCTTCACACTATTTCAGCTCATTCCCTTTTATTTCTATTTCCATTGCCATTATATGTACCCGGATGAAAAACTCTGAGCATGAATTTTGCCTGGTATTTTGAGTAAACAAATAAGCAAAAACAATGAAAAACAGAAAGTAAGTATATGGTGGAACAACAAAGTTCATTTGTTGTAAAGCTGCGCAGATTTGCCGTTAAAAAGTGTCTGAACATCGGAAATGGACTAGAAGTCTTCTAGAAAACAATTGTTTTCATTCTTTCCTTTCTTCCTTTTTTTTGAATTTTCGGAAAGTTGAATTTTATCCATTCTTATATCCCGTCTATGTTCAGTTCGTTTACTTTCGTTTACGTTGCAAGCTCGTACTCGTATGGCTCTTTTTCCATTTATGAGCAAAGCGGAATACCTCAAACGAGACTTCCTGCACCCATAGCAATTATACTAATCATTATACCAATGAGGCTTCCCGTCCCGGAACTAATGTAGAGTGCTACTTGCAGCCGCATACCCCTCCCCGTAGGTCGAGATCGATCTCATTGGAGGATCTATTCAGTCACTGTAGAGGACAGCAATCTGGCGAATACATCATCTTATGAACTGCTTCTATCTGAATCAATCGGTTGTAATATGCTTTTTCTTTGTCGTATTACTGCCGTAGAGATGTCACATTCCGGGATAGTCATATTTGAAGAGCGGCGGGCGTCCAAAACTCTGAGAGAATCTGCCTCAGTTCTAACCGCTTGAAGCTTCACTTCCAAGAATGTGTGATTATGAACTCAACTAATTGTCAATACGTTTTATCCATGCTCTTTACGAGTATCTCGATCTAAGCTTCGTATCGATGAAAAGTTGCCATGGCTAAATTCTATAATTTCTCTGAAAAGAAATTCTGGTCTTTGGAAGGGTTTCAGAAGCCCTTGATCTACAAAAAGTGGTAAAAATGAAGGGAAAACTGAGAGATGAAGAATGTTTACATTTTCACTGTTTTTTGGATCTTTCAAGCTGACGAAATTGAAGCCCGGTGAAATTCCAGTGGCGATCCAAAGCGCTGGAGTATGAAAAATGAGACCACTGATTGTTACTGTAGTAATAGGAAGGACTCGAACTTACTCCCCTCTCTCTCCTTTGTGTATTAATAAGTTAAGTTTTTGCATTAAATGAACTGTTTCAATGGTCACGAGCAGTTGGGATAAAATGGCTGGCCTATCACGGCACAGAGTTCGCATCTTGAAGTTTGTAAAGTCTTATCTCCCGGCTGCAGGACAAGGGAAACCGAAGAAATAAGCCTTCTTGGAGGAACAGATCAGCTTCGGAGGATATGTTCAGTTCCCTCTGCAAATAGCCCATCATTCTCGAATTCTTACCTAATGACTCCTTTTTTTTCTCACTATTTCTGAGCCATGTTTCTGAGCCTTACATGAAACGACTACGCGTCAGCTGTGTATTGAGACCAAATTCCTCTGGTAGGGGTTACCCATTCAATTAAAGACATCAGAGAAGGGGAAGGCGGAGCCACTGCATGTGCAAATGCTACTCATCACCTCCTGCTGTTGTCAACTCTCATTTCCTTTTCAATTTTAAGTCGTATTGGTGGATCTCTGCAATAGGAGTGTGCAGACTGCTCGGATGTCCATTGTAAGAGTATTTGAAGCTTGAACTCTGACGTAATAACTAGAAAATCAATATAGCGTGGAATACTACTTCTCATACTTCCGCATGCGATTATCTGCTTGATTAAGTGATGCAGTAAATTACTCGTACTATGAACAGTTGCTAATGAAGTAGTTCCGAGTGTGATTCAACGTTAAACCAGTGATTACCTACTAGTCTAATCTAGTGAAATATCACAAATCATTGTGAATCACTGCCAACATTTAAAGTGATGAATGACCCTTTCATGGGTTTTCTCGTAGCCAATCTGGGCAGCTACCAGCTAGCGAAAAACCTTGACTAGGCCGTTGAAATGTGAGAGCGTAAGTGAGCACCATCCCTGAGTGGGAACTTCGTTTACCAGCACGAAATCGACATGGGTGTCTTCCTGAGCTTAAGAGTGTTCTATGAGTTAAAATGAATGAGGGCTAGAAACATTACATCCCCATTCACCTTGCTCGAAGCGTGAAACTCGGGCAGTAGAGCGAACCATGTGCACGGAATGTGCAGGAAGGGAACGACTGTGTCGTTTCTGTTCCGTCCAATACGCCTCCCTGTCGAGGCATTTTTTGAGCTATTTGCATGTGACTTTAAAAGGGGATTTCTGACAGCTTGTACTTCATTCACTTCGAAAGAAACTTTTCCTATTTTCCTATAGCATAACTAGTATTGATTTCACTTTTCTATCTGGATTCTCTCAGGAGTGTAGCTCGGGAAGTTAAAGAATCGTAAAGGCTTTCACTACTACTGGATACCTGCCCAAGCCTCATGCTATGATGAATTATCCACCAACTCGAATTATCTTCCGATTTTTAAATAATTACTTGTAATCTCCCGTCTCTAATGGTGTTAAGAACCTTATACTCCCTAACGTCCTTTGGTAGTTTATTCCCGAGATATGGAAACCGTATAAGACTCTAAGCTAGCTCTCCGAGCTCTTGAGGGTACCCTTAAAGGGTGCCAAATTCGTGCCTCGATCCAATGCACGGTCCGTTCCGGTCCCCAGTCGCTTGCTTTCCTCCCTAAAAAATGGCGTTGTCAAAACATTTCCAGGAAATGGGCCTATGCACATCGAAAAGTCGATATACAACTGATCTTTCAGTTGAAGAAATAGAGGCTATTCGAGAGGTTTGGATCAAGTAAGTAGATACCGAAGTAACCGTTTTGTTCTATTCATTTTTCCCATCTACACTAAAAGAAATGCATACTGACAAATTTCTGAAAGCCATACTTTAAGCATGTTTATTTGTAAATAACCTTATATACTGCGATAAAATTACCTATTCAGAGCTAAAAACAACAACGTTGGCAAGAAGATCCTTCAAACATTGATTGAAAAACGTCCAAAGTTTGCCGAATACTTTGGAATACAAAGTGAATCTCTCGACATCAAAGCGTTGAATCAGAGCAAAGAATTCCACCTGCAGGTATGGAAACTTTCCAACACAAATCTTTGACATTACCATTTTGTATAGCCGTTCTTACTGGATATCACTAGGCACTTCTTTCAATTTTTTTTTACATTTTTTAAAAATTTTTCTCGATACACTCAGTGTACATTTCCTTTCTCCATTCTGATGAGCTTGATGTATCATAGATGAAACCCACGTGTTTCTCAGAATGCAACTTTCATGAGCAGACGGCTCATTAATAGGGAAGTTGAGGATCAAATTTCCCAATGTGGTCCCAATTTCCTCCTAAATTGAATGGACGTGAATAGGAAATTGAGAAGGCAAAAGAGGCTGACAACTACACACGCCCTTTCGTAGTATTTGTGATTCATTTTTGATAGTTCTTAGGAATACTGTTTTGAAAATAAAAAGGGTAAATCTAAGCACTGCCTCTGCTCCCGATCCATCGTGCTCGAACCTTCTGCTAAGCTTGGGTATCTTGCTCTTGCAGCGGCGCTTCACTTGCGGTAGTACTTGATTACTCTATTCAACTAACAATTATAACCCATAACAATCCGTTCAAATGCAAGTATCAAGGTAATTTTTGAATATGAATAATAGACGTTAATGATCAAGGACAATTGAGTCCTATCTCCCTCGGGTAAACTATCCGTCTGCTTTTCCTCAATGAGATTTGACGCAAAGACTGGGGTAACCATTATCCACCACACACCAGACTGCCAAGTTACGAGTCACCCAAAACTATTATTGAACAGGGTCTGAACTTTTGTTAAGCTCGGAAAGGAGGTCTTTGGGATCCTTATGAAGTTTAATATCGTTCCGCTTCCACGGTCTCCTGACCTAAGTTACGCTTCATTACAGTCAGGCATGACCCATCCCACTCCAGTGAAAGGATTGAGCTGAAAATGATCTTAGGATTGTGTATATTGGCTGCCAAAGTACTAAAGTGTAGGTAATACTTTATTTCAGGCACACCGAATACAAAATTTTCTCGACACTGCGGTTGGATCGCTTGGATACTGTCCAATATCCAGTGTTTATGATATGGCTCATCGAATTGGACAAATACATTTTTACAGGGGAGTTATTGTTTTCCATACTATTCTTTATTTCGAAAGCAAACCTCAGTAGCCCTTGAGAAAGTCCCATGATTTCTGTTTATCTGATCCACGTTGAGCGCAATTAGAAGGAATAAAATAGGTCCCCACCATTTGGGTGTGCGCCAGAAGGGTGCACACTCAAGATTCAGAATAGGATAAGAGATACCAATGGTTGAATTATTGAGAATGCCTGAGTTTCAGAGGAGTAAACTTTGGAGCAGATAACTGGCTCGTGTTCAAAAGAGTTGCTGTTGATCAAGTAACGACTGGTTTCTCCGACACCACATCTGATCCAGGACTTAATGGGATGACAAAGCCAGATGAGGTAAATAAGTTACTCGTATGATACCAGTCGGATCGCCCGGCTAATGCAGGGCGCTCCTCCTTCTCATTTGAAATAGCCTGTCGAATACGCCTCCTTCGAATTCGGACGCTCTGCTATACTAAAACAAGAAATAAATTTTTTCGGCTGGAGACAATGCGAATGAAATTGAGGTTCAGCTCGTGAAGTTGGCCTCTAAGGGGAGTTGACGGCACTCGCAAGGACTAAATGAGAAACCAAAATAGATGCATTCCCTTGATCCTTCGCTGTACAGCACTATTAACGGAGGGACCTCAACGTTCGCCCGACCAAGTTGTCCTATGAATTCTAACGAACGTATTACAGCAATTCAAAAAACATTGGTTCCTAATCGTAACTGATTTTGGGTAAAAATGTAGTTGGGGGGCCACCCATCCGAAGGTCAGTATATCAAGAAATGAACTCAGTCTAACGTGTTAGCCCTTGTTATATCAGCACTGTATCGGATGCGTAGAGCATGATGGGAATCGACCAGCTTAGCTCTTTTATGCGGTTTCAGTTAGTAAAATTTGGTTGACCAAATAAGCCTAGGTAGGGTAGGAGCACCTGGGTGGCTAGGATGATTACATCCCGCAAAAAAAAAATAAGAAAATAAGAAAGAGAACTTGCCCAACGCGGTGCTCCCTCCCTACGAGAGCCCTTATTTAAACACTGG